CCATTCCCATGCTCTGGAAAAGCTTAGCTGACACTTTACAAGGACCTTGATGAAGTGACAAGTGACTTGGTAATGATGACATCATACCTAGGCACCAGCAAAACGATTTTTTTTTTAAACTACACAAAGCCTATGTCTCTAGCATAGATTGTTAATGTCAATTGAGTTGATGAAATGGGAATTACATCATTTACAATTTAATGCCCTAGTTACAAGCTTAAATTAAATTTAAATTTAAAAGAAAATAAATGCTACTCCCATAGAAATGAAATAATCTACCAAGTATGACAAATCAAAATAGAAGATTTATTAGATATATATCTTTCTTTCACTGATGGGTGATGAAATAGCACCTCGTTTTTAAAAATGGAGATTGGTTTGATTATTCAGTTAAACAATCAGCAGCTATTTATTGACTGCCTGTAATATGAATTATTAATTTAAAATAACTCAATTTATGAAATCCCTATAAGATTCCCAATTGTTATATGAATATGTAGTATGATTTCTAAAGATATTTTTAGCCCCTTCATCTGAAGTTTCATGTATACTTAACAATTCTTGAAAAAAAAACCTATAAAAGACACCATTCACAGATTTGTTTTCCCTTATAGGTGTGATTACAATGGAAATAGAAAAATTCAGCAATACACAAAGACAGCATGCTATTCAATTTTATCCAGAATTGTGTCTATTTTTGACAGTGTAGAAAATTCAAGGAATTTAAGCATTCATTATTCAATAAGTTGTTTATTAGCTGATTTGTCTGTTATACTTACTGTACAATGAACCAATGTAAACCAATGTTTACAACTCACTATTAAAATGTATTGTGAAAAGCGGATCTATAGGTGAATTAAACTGTGAATGTGGGACACACAGATCTATACACCCATTATCTTAGAGAAGGCCATTCCACAAATTGTTCATTCAGTGGTCCCTCGTTGTTTACAGAATGAAACACCTTCAGGAGGGCACAGTGGCCCACACCTGTAATCCCAGCTACTTGGGAGGCTGCTAATTGGGAGGCTGAGGCATGAGGATCACTTGAACCCAGAAGTTTGAGGCTGCAGTGAGCTATGATTGCACCACTACACTCTAGCCTGGGCAATAGAGCAATGCTGTGTCTCTGAAAAAAAAAAAAAATCTTTTTACTGGCATTTCAAAACCTCCACAATTTGGATTAAATATAGCTTTCTATACTTATTTTTTACTATTTTAGTTTAGACACCCTATACTAAAGCAAAACTCAAATAGTAACTATTTATTATAAGTTCTCTAACTTTATTTTTTAATAGACTATTTTTTACAGCAGTTTTAGGTTCATAGCAAAACTGAGCAGAAGATACAAAGATTTCCTGTGTATCTCATGCACCCATGTATACATGGCTTTCCCTACGGTCAAAGTCCCACATCAGTGTGGTACAGGTGTTACAACTGATGAACCTACATCGACATAGCATGCCACCGAAGTCCATTGTTTATATTAGGGTTCATGCTTGGTGTTAGAACCTTCCATGGATTTTGAAAAATGTATAAAGACTTTGTTCTCTTTCAATATTGTTATTATTATTCTTTCATCTCTCCATATAAACACTAGAATCAACTTGTCAATATATTTTTAAAAAGTCTTTCTGGGATTGTGATTGCAATTGCATTGTATCCATAGATCAAACTTGACAATATTGAATCTTCCTTTCCATGAACATGAAATGTCTATCCATTTATTCAGTTCATCTTTTATTTTATTCATCAGAGTTTTGTAGTTTTCCTCATACAGATTTTGTACATATTTTGTTATAGTATACCTGGGATAAAGCTCACTTGGCTGTGGTATATAATTCTTTTGATACATTGTTGGATTAATTTGCTAATATTTTGCAGGATTTTTGCATCTATGTTCATGAGAGATAGTGGTTTGTAGTTTACTTTCTTGTAATGTCTTTGGTTTTGCTACTAGGGTGACGTTGACCTCATAGAATAAGTTAGGAAGTGATCCTTTTGATTCTGGAAGAGATTGTAGAGAACTGTTATAATTTATTCCTTAAATGTTTGGTGTAATTCACCAGTGAACACATCTGGGCCTGGTGGTTTCAGTTTTGAAAGGTTATTGTTATAATTATTGATTAATTTTCTTTAATAGCTATTTGCCTGCTCAACTTGTCTATTTCTTCTTATGTGAGTTTTGGCAGATTGTGTCTTTTAAGGAATTAGTTCTTTTCACCTAGGTTATTAAACTGTGGGTATAGAACTATTCATAATATTCCTTTTTTATCATTTTAATATCTATGGGATCTATAGTGATGGTCCCGTTTCATTTCTAATATTAGTAATTTGTGTCCTCTCTCTTTTTTTATTAGTTAGCCTGGCTAGAGGATTATCAATTTTATTGATCTTGTCAAAGAACCAGTTTTTGGTTTAATTGATTTTCTTTATTGTTTTCTTATTTTCAATTTTATTGATTTCTGCTCAATTTTTAATATATCTTTTCTTCTGTATACTTTGGATTTAATTTTCTCTTCTTTTTCTAGATTCCTAAAGTGTAAGCTTAGATGATTGATTTCTGTTTTCCTAACATATATATTCAATGTTATATTAGTACTACTTTTGCTACAAATCATAATTGTTTATAGATTGTTTTCATTTTCATTTACTTCAAAATATTTTAAATTTATCTTGATATTTTTTTAAGACCTATGTGTTATTTGGAAGTATTTAGTTTAATCTCTAAGTATTTGAGAATTTCTCAGTCATGTCCCTTTAATTAATTTCTAGTTTAATTTAATTGTTGTAAGAGAACAGACATTGTATGATATCTATTTTTTTTAAGTGTTAAGGTGTTCTTTATGTTCCAGAATGTGGACTATCTTGGTCAATATCTCATGTGAGCTTGAAAAGACACTGTTGCTGGTTGAAGTGATTGATAGATGTCAATTATATCCAGTTAATTGATGATATTTTTTAGTTCAACTATGTCTTTGCTGATTTCCTGCCTACTGGATCTGTCCATTTCTTACAGAGGGGTGTTGAAGTCTCCAACTACAATAGTGGATTCATATAGTTTTCTTTGCAGTTTTATTAGTTTTTGATCATATATTCTAATACTCTGTTCCGAGACACAGACACATTAAAGGTTGTTATATCATTTTAGTGAATTTATCTCTTTGTCATTATGTAATACTCTTCTTTATCTGTAATATTTTTTCTTGCTGTGAAATCTGCTGTATCTGAAATTAATAAGTTACTACTGCTTTCTTTTGTTTAGTTTTAGAATGGTATATCTCCATTTCTTTACTTTTATTTTATGTGTGTCTTTATATTTAGAGTGGCGTTCTTGTAGGCAGCATATAGTTGGATCTTGTTTTTTACCTACTCCGATAATTTTTGCCTTTTGATTGGTAAATTTAGACCATTGGTGTTCAAAGTGATTATTGATATGATTGCATTAATACCTACCTTATTTGTTACCATTTTCTACTCATTCTTATTCTTTTTTCTAATTTTTCTTTTACTTTTTTGCCTTTTGTGGTTTTAATTGAACATTTCATATGATCCCATTTTCTCTCCTGTCTTAGCATATCAGATATACTTCTGTTTTTGCTTTTTTTAGTTGTTGCCTTATAGTTTGCAACATACATTTATAGTTAATCCAGGTCCATTTTTGAATAACATTGTACCTCTTCATATGCAGCGCAAGTACTTTACAATAATAAAGTAATGCCATTTCTTTCTTCCCTCTACCATTGCTGTCATCTGTTTCATTTATATGAAAGCATGTAAAAGCATGTGCGTGTGTGTGTTCAAGCATACATAATGGCATAGATTGTTGCTGTTGTTATTTTGAACAAACTGTTACATATAAGATCAATTAAGAATAAGTGAATCTTCACTGAGAACTCCAGTTGCCCACTACACAAGGTTCATATTATTCCACAGGGAGGCAGAATACTTCTCTCTATTTGCCAGTTGTCTCCAACTATGCTAAGGGCAGACCACAGACCTTACCCTCTCTTGACTTTAGATAAGCTAGAAAATGTCTGCTTCCAAAGGTAAGGACTTTTATATTTATCAAAAATACTTTTTGTGTCACTTTTCTAAAATCCTTGTGAACCTACACATTAGGCCTCCACTCCCCTTGAGTTAAGCATGTATTATAAATCTCAACATATGCTACCTACAGCCCTTGGATGGTGATGAGACATTATATAACCATTTGTTATACTTCTACACTAATTATGTTAAGAAATTAAAAAAAAAAGTGTCAGAACTTTTATACTAATGGTATTACATTATTAAAAGATTTAAAAATTAGGTCCTTTACATCAAGATTTTTCAGATGAAAACTCAAAAATCAAAACTGGCAATAAGACATTATTGCCTCATATTTAATTTTGCATGAGAGATATGCAGGGTCGATGTAGCAGATCGACTTGATTTAAAATAAATGTGCTGATGATTATTTAAAATGTGTGAGCTCTGGTTTTTTTTTCAAAGTTACTAATAAAATTCAGTCAAGGAGAGTATTGAGAAGGCTATGATTTGGAGGTAAAGGGTAAATGTTTTGAAACGGGAGACATAATTAAGAGTCATCATTTCAATCCAATTTAATTTGAAGAATGGCTTACTGCTTTATGAAAAACAAAACAAAACAATGAAACGCCTTAGAATGCTGTACTGTATTGACATACCTTAACTCTCAGTGGACAAGGATTAAATCAGTTAACTATGTCTTTTTAAAATTCCATAAGATTTAATGTGACCATGACATTTTTGTTTCCTCCTCTATTAGGTGTGAACTCTACCAAGGGTTTATAAAGGTGTTTTGGGAGAAACAGAATACAATCTTTGCCAAACCTCACTGAGTAAGGATTTATAGAGGAGGATTCATATAACTTAAGTCAATAAAGTCCCCAAAAGGAGTAATTGGAACATCTGGAATCAATAATCTCATAGGACTAGTTTCCTCTCCTCAACTTTTCTTTTCTTTTGCTTCCTGGCAGGTTATCCAGCCAATAACTCTAGGAAGTTATATTTGGTTTGAGAATTGAAATATATGTGAAGATGCAGCTGCAAACATCAGTTTAAGGTCAGAATGAGATCAACTGTATAGAGAATTGAGGAGATGGGAGTTTGAAATCTACTCATTTTATGTGTATTTTTTTTCAATTACAAAATAAATAGAGCCATTGTAAGAAATAATAGCATTTTAAAATCATCATTTAAATTAAAAAACATAAATCCTCTATAAAAATGAACTGGAATAGAAAAGTTAGGATTATGTATTATTAATTTGATTTGTCTCAATGAAGGTCCAATTGTTGAAACACAAAGGAATGTTTCACCTAATCTCATGAAGTACGTTAACATTGAGTTGAGGCACCTAATCAATAAACTGTGAAAAAGAATGAGCTCTTTACTTCCTTCCCTTTTGAATTTGGTATCACTATTTAGCCAATTGCTCAAGCCTGAGAATCTTCCTTGACTTGTTCCCTTATCATGAATTTTTCTAAAATAGAAAACATAAAATGAGGCATTAGGTGGCATTCTTTTTGTATTTTGCTTTGCTATGATTTTGCTTTGGGGATTAAGGGAATGCAAAGTCAATAAGGGCAGAGATTTTTTTGCTTGTTTTGTTCTGTTTGTGCCCAGTGCCTGAAACAATAACTGGTGTGTTGTAGGTGCTCAAAAATATTTGTTGAAACATTCATAGATTATAATGTCAGTGACATCCCTGAGCAGAGAAAGATGCAATGAGATCAGTCTGTATTGATCATGACAGGAGAAAAAAGTGCAGGAAACTTTGTCACCTTGGGTGAGTTGCTTAACTTTTTCAGATCAAAGTTTTCTCACCTGCAAAATAGAGGTTAATAAGAACACTGATAGCACAAGATTGATGTACAAAGCATTGGTGCTTAAGTCCTCTCCTCTCTCTTCCTCTTAATAGAATCTCACTGAGCAAGAGAAGGCAAAGGTGCTGGCACAACGAAGAACAGATTCCAGTGAGGAGTCATTGCTTGAAAATAGCTACCTCAGGAATTAGACCCCTCCAGCAAACAACCATCAGCCCACAGTAAGGGGGCTAACGTGGGTGGGGAGAATTCCCATGGCTTGATTTGTCCTTGTAATTTTTTGATCTGAAATTCTACCGAATGACTGATCGGTTGAAATTGTTCTTGACTATGAGCCATAAAGTGGCTGCCAACTTAATAGTTTAAATAGAGGTTGTGAACAGCATCAACTCTACGGCCTGAAGTGACTGCCACTAAAATCTACAAAAATGATTAAAGCCCCATTACTAACATACAGGACTGTCAACCCAATAGGACCACTGTCTATAGGAAACTGGGATCTCTAGAGACAGGGCGCACAGAAAGGAAAGAAGAATTCGCGATCAAAGGAAAAAGAACAGATATACTTGTAAAATCATAAAATGTTAGTCTTTCCAAATCTCTAACCCTGAATCACATTTTCAAATGCACATAAAATCAGATGTCTTCACTCTAATAGCAAAGCTTATTATTATTCATGACAATTTAAGTGTTTATTCCAAGAGCAGAAGTAATTTTTATTCATTAGCTGCTTTGGATATTTACGTATTAAAAGGTCTTTTAAAAGAGTTCCTTTCCAACAGAATTTTTTTGCATAGTGAGGTTAGCTGAAGGACATAAATATTCTAAAGTTTTCATTCAATTCAGCAATTCAGGTTAGTTCTGCTAACTTGAGTTAAGTCTGTGAGTTCAAATAATAGACCATAAACTCTGATTAATGAATGAATATCAATGTTGTTTTATAAAAAGTGGTATTATTAATTCTGATCAAAGTGTGCAGTCACTGTGTTTATGCTTAAAATACATAAAACCTTGTTGTCAACTATTATTTATTTCATAAAAGGCATTTGTGGGGATTGATCACATTGAATTGCCTTTTATTTCTACTCACAGTCCAGAGAGTGAAATGGGAATATTATCAGCATAGTCTTTAATAAATTTAGAATATGTTGTGGTTTTAAATGTCCCCAAAATTTGTTGACAATTATCCCATATTCAAAATATTTAAGTGTGGGATACTTGTCAACATTTTGAATAGAATGAAATGCCAATTCTATAACTTTGAAATAAACTTTACTCTTTCTGTTTTAATATGGTTCAATGTCTTAGAAAATATGTACTTTTTAAATTTTCATCAAATTTTTACATAGTAGAAGTTTAATAATGAATCATTACATTAAGTGGGTATATCCAGATTCATTTTAGTAAACTTTTTAATTTTGTAATAGTTTTATTTTAAAACAATTTGCAGAATTATTGCAAAGATAATAAGTTTTCCCATATACCTCACACCCAGTTTTCTCTATTATTAACATCTTATCATTTGTCACAATTAATGAACTAATATTGACACATCATTATTAACTCAAGTCCATATTTTCTTCAAATTCATTCATTTCTTCTCTAATGTCTGTTTTTATTTCCAAGATCCCATTCAGAGTAAACATTATATTAATTGTCCTGTCTCCTTAGGGTCCTTTTGACTATGATGGTTTCTCAGATTTTTCTTGTTTTGGACGACCTTAGCATTTTGAAGATTATTGTTCAAGTGTTTCATAGAATGTCCCACAATTTGGATTTTTCAATGTCTTTTTCATGATTAGACTGGAGTTATGGGTTTTGGGAAGAAGACCATAAAGGTGAAGTGACGTTCTTATCCCATCGTATAAAGGCTACATTCTATCAACATGAATTGTCATTGCTGATGTTTCCCTTAATCACCTGGCCTGAAACAGTGTTCATCAGGTTTCTTTGCTCTAAAATTAGTGTTTTTATCTCCCTTTAAGAGTACTGTACTCTTTGGAAAAAAGCTATTGTTCACATTCGCACATAAGAAGAGGGGAGTTGTGCTCCACCTCCTTAAGGGCAGAGTATCTACATAAACTATTTGTAATTCTTCTGCACTGGAGATTCATCGATTCTCCCCCATTTTAAAATTTATTCGATCATTTATTTATATCAGTAAGGATTCAGGGATATTTATTTCACACTTTGGGTTATAATCCAATACTACTTTATTTTATTACTTGAGTTGTTCTAGCTTTGGCCATTGGGAGTTCTTTCAGATGGGTCCTATATCCCTTTGACATATTCCCTATTATTGTGATATTTTCTCGTTTTGTTTTTGTTTTTTGGAGCAACTTTTACTTTCTAGCACTACGAGGTGCTCTAGGTTCATCTTGTGCATTGTTTAGCATTGCAAGAAACTACCAAACTGTCTTCCAAAGTGGTGGTACCAGTTAGCATTCCCACCAGCAATACACGGGCATTCCTGTTGCTCCAAATACTAGCCAGAAATCGCCATTGTCACGTTTTTGGTTTGTGGTTTTGTTTTGTTTTAGTTTGGTTTAGTTCTTAGCTGTTTAAATAGTTGTGCAGTCATAACGTTGAGCATCTTTTCATTTTGAAGCTGAAACCAGAAGTAACCAGAACTCTCGCAAATTATTGTGTTTCACAAGAAATCGTATTCTTAAAGAATTTCACAAACACTTTAACTCTGATTTGGGTCAGAAAAGATTTTATTAAGTCACATAATTCATAAGGTCATGTAGGCTCATGCAGGAGCCATCGACCAAAACTATGTGATTTGGAAAATCCTCTTAGTCTCTGATTGGAATGCATGACATTACTAAATATTATGAAGTTGGGAGCAGACCATGATTCCTTTGTATTGTTTACAGTGACTCAATAATTTAATCAGTAATTCATCTCCAAGGATCATGGGATTTCTAGGTATAAAGGAAGGTACATCTAAGAGTTGTCAATTACTTACTCAAGAAAATGCCCACGAGCAGTCCCAGAGGAGTTAAATAAATACATTGTTTTGTTCTATTTTTTTCTCAGAAACATGGTATCACATATATGAAGTTGGGTAAGGAGTTTATCAAAAAAGGCCTTAGAGGTTATGGAGGCCTAAAAGTAGAAATTACTTCTGAAATTACTGAGAATTGCAGTGTGAAAGAAACTTATTTTTCAGACCATGAAATCCTTTTGTCAAAGTACACAAATATTTTTCTTTTGTAATAATAATTTTGATGTACTTTTATATAGGTAAAAAACAATTTGCCCATCCTTTTGGGGCTGTAATTCCATAAAACTACAGTTGACCTTTGAAAAACAGGGGTTTGAACTGTGTGAATTTACTTATATGTTGATTTTCTTCTGCCTCTGCCACCTCTGAGATAGCAGGATCAACCCCTTCACTCCCTCCTTCTCCTTGGCCTACTCTACCTGACAATGATGAGGATGAAAACCTTTGTGATGATCTACTTCCACTTCATGAATAGTAAGTATATTTTCTCTTCCTTATGATTTTGTTAATAATATTTCCTTTTCTCTAGCTTACTTTATTGTAACAATACAGTAATAATACCTATACTGTACAAAATATGTGTTAATTGACTGTTTATATGATTAGTAAGGCTTCTGGTTGACGGTAGGCTATTAGTAGTTAAGTTTTTGAGTCTAAAGTTATATATGGACTTTTGACTCTGTAGGGGGCCAGCACTTCACCCCCCTGTATTGTTTAGGGTCAACTGTATATTATATTCAATGGTGCCATTTTAAATGAGTTGGAGTGTTCGTTAATTGTTATCTGGGTGACTCTGGTAAACTCCAATTAATTATTTATCTTAATGATTGGGTTATGTATCCTTTTAAAAAAGAGCTTCACATTTTCTTTTTAAGAAATGTTTTCTTCTATCTTTGCAGCCATGTTATAATACATTAGTATGTGGACAAAATTTTAATCTAATACATCAAAGTGAAGATAGATTTATCTTCGGTTATGGCTGATATTTTTTCCCTCTAAAATTTTAACGAACAGTGATATCACTCTAAAAGATGGCTAATTTTTACTGACAAGCATTAGGAATAAGCCAAAAAAATCACAAAATAGACATTACAATAACTTGAAATGTTTTTACAGCTGCCGATATCATACCATTCCCTCACAAAATCCCTTTTACTTCTCTGTGAGGCAGTAACCTCAGGCACAATTAGGGAAGTATGTTTCTTGGAGCTGGATAATTAAATGCCAAGAAAACTCACCACTCAATATGTAATTCACTCAACATCTTGTTGTTTGAAGGAGCCAGTGTTCATATATAGGATGGATTGAATTCCTAACAACATCTGGCATGAGCAGTGGACTTGGCCCTCACCATAATAGCATTACATTCATGGTCAGAATGACAGCTAACTGGATGGATGGAGCTTGTCTCTAACAGAGCAGATTCATGACTACCGCATAATGAATCAGAACGTTATAACCTCTGGTCACATACACCCTGGCCTGTTGCTCCTTGCAAGCTATATCAGGGGATGTGGAGTAAATTTCTGTTGTCAGATCTAATGGTGAAAGATTCTGGTTTCCAACTTACTGAGAAAGCAAAGTAGAATTTCCATTCCAATAATCGGGATCAAAACATTTCCTGATCGCCCTGGTCAATTTATTCTGTCACTTAATTAAACCCAAAGCATTGCAAATCATGTCAGTAAGCAAAAGAGAGACTGCCTCTTCAACCTTGAAGCCAGTCCTTGAGATGAATATCTTATAAAGTTAGTTAAGTTCTAGGATATGCATTAAAGGAGGATTTCTCTAAGGGCTTTTTCACAGGTTAAACAGGGATTAAAGCAGATGGCAAACAAAGTCACAATTAAGAGTTACAAGAGAAATCAAAATGCAAGAGCAAATTCATAAAAAGTAATGAAAAGTAGAATTTCCACCACAGAAAGTCTCCCACACAAGGAAAAAAATCTAAGTTCTGGGAAAGGGAATAGCAAAATCGTTTATATTATTTGAAGTTTTTCTTAAGCTGAAAATTTATCTATAAAGTTGTCTGAGTCGAGGGCCCTTGGATATGGAAAAGAAATAATATTCACTGATTTTTTTTTAAGTTTGAATTTTGTTTTTCATTTTTCCTTTTCCTTTACTTGGAAAGCCCAAAATGACTGAAAGGAGAAATACAATAATGTGGTCTTGGTTGATGGCTATGCACCACACTTAGGTGTATACAAATTAATATTTGTTTCCAATATTAAAATGTCCTTGTCACCCCCATACTGTCACCATTTAGGCTACCCTAAGTTTTACACACGTCCCTAGACTAAGCTCACATTTGCAAGCAGTTGTAGGTGTCTGATGTTAGTATGCACTGAGTGAATAGTTTTACACTGCCCTGCACTTTTCATTCTCTCCTTGTGGAGTTGTGAAGACATGATTATATGACTTAAGAGAGTGACTGTTTCCTGATGACATGTATTTATTAAGGCAATGTGCATTAACTTCATGGGGAGGTAGGCAGCATATTTTTAAGAAGACTAACAGATTAGAATACATTGCATAATGACTGCTTTCTGTATCACAGAGCACAGAACACAGTGTGCACTCTGTATTTTAAAACACTGAAACTGTAATTTGGTATTTTTAGGTTAATTTACAGTGGTTCCACCAGGAAGGAATCGTTCAGGAGGCATTATATAAATTGTTACACAGTTGAAAAATGAACATGAGGGTTTTAGCATCCCGCAAGTTGCTCTGTAACACAATTCTGGAAAACTGCTCTAACTCTTAGGGGTGGGGAGCTCTTTACTGATTTTTTTTGAAGGAGTTCAAATTACTCAATATGTAGATTTCAGATTATGAAAAAAAGGATAAAAATATAGGTGTAAAAAGTGCAAAACTGAACCTTTATTTTTGCTTCAATTAGTAAACTCAGGGCATTTAATAGTAAGTGGCATTTGTGGAAGATTTTACAACTAATGACATAAAAGGAATTACACAAAGTGTTTATTAAGCTTTTTTTTTTTTTTACCTACAAACACTCAGCCTTTTAAACCAATACTTTAGTAATTAAAACACCACCAGCAACTCAAAATTGTTTCAAAGTTTTCAGAGCTGTGTGTTCAACTCCAAATACCATAATACCAGTGTAAGTATTCTGTAAAAAAGGGAAAATTAAGATGAAGATGTAAAGGTAATAGAAAAAAGACACCTTACATATTGTTTTAATTTAACTGCATGTGTGTAATTCATGTATGTGTGCCAACACACAGAGATTTGAGACCCAGAAAACCCTTCATCCTTCAGTATTATGGATAGGTAGGCATACTATCCCATTTTTTTTAGGGAAAATAGCTACTTTCTGGCTAATTCTCCACATTAACCCATCAGAAGATGAAAGAGTATGTGTTTTTCATTTGATCATTTTATCTTCCATTGGGCAATGTTTTTCAGCAAATATTTTAAAACTTTATTTGGGAAATATAACTTGTTTTAGGAAAAATAAAATGAAGCATGAACAAATATTTTCATATGAAAATTTTAACGCTAATTGCATTTTTTAAAAGCAAGAAACATCTGATAGGGCCCCGATGATATCCATTATATAAAGTCATTAGCCTTTCCCCACTATCATTTAGGAAAGTAGAGATCAACCTATACAGTTCAGTAGTGTTCCTAAAAATGGAAAGATAGCCCTGTGTTGTTTTGCACTGTAAATAAGAATTACCACTTATTTACTGCCCAAAGAACTGGTGTATACATACAACCATTAGGCCACATTCATTCAAAAGGATATGTTTTTAATTTGGAATTCTGCAGTATATGTGGTCACAAAGAATACATATAATAATTGACTAGAATCCACATCAGTGATTCTAGAATCACGAAAACACAGATACGCAAGGACATAAGGAAAAGAAAAACAGCAAAATTCCTCCATCTTTAAGTCAAGTGAAGTATGTTGGCTTCTTGCAGTCTAAATATTTCTGATGTCATTTTACAAGAATCTAAATTCCAATATAATTGGGTGTGTAATGTTTAGAAAGCACACACTAGCAGTTCACTGAAATACTAAAAATGCATATGCGTTACCTTTATGAAGAGGTATTCCTCTTTTTTCCCTTCAGATTAAAAAATAAATAAACTTTTTAGTGGATTTACAAAGTGTTGTAGGCCCTGGACACATTGTTTTGTGGATAAGTTGCCCTGTTTGTAGGTGTTAGGGCAGTTAATTGAGCAAATTCCTGCTCAGTAGTCTCAATTTTCTCAGTAAGACTGAAGGCAAAATCTACTGTGTAGAATGAGTTGAATTATAGACAAAAAAGTGGTTCATTGGAGTTGAAATTCAGAAATGCAAGAAGGAGCTCATCAAAATCCAAATGAGAGCCCCAAATGTAGAATCTTCACTCTTGATGACTATTTGCTTTTTCTTGAATATTATTTAGCAACCTTGGTGTAGGAGCAGAAGGGACAATGTTAGATTAATACAGGGTTAGATTTTGCAAGAAATATTGGACAGAAAAATTCAAACTGTCAACTCAATGAGGAGAAAGTGAATAAGTGATGCACCCTGGGAGCTACGTTAGCAAGGGGAGAGCAAAGACAGAAGGAGCCTGACAGTTTGGGATAAAATGTGGTTGTCTGAGAGCAGTATTTTACTTCTCTGTTTTGTGTTTTGCAGGTTTTGGAACAATTGCATGATGGGTTTTTGGGAATAAGAGAGTGAATGAGCTGTGAGCAAGGTCACCATGGTGAGAATTTGAAAGTATAAAATACCCGTGGTGGAGAAATTCCAGGTTGCAAAGAAGTCCAGGGAGTGGATTGTTACAGTAAATTGGTAGGAATGATCATTCCTGTGGATGACTTTAAGGGTTATACATGAAGGAGTTGGACAGAAATTGGCCTGAGAGTTTTACCAGGGCTGGAGAGAACATTCCTGAGTCGGGGGCCAAAACAATCGATGCATAAAAGGAGGAATGCCAGAAAGCAGGGGACGTCAAGAAGAAGATTCTGTTAGGCTAGACAGAAATACTACAAAGAATTGTTTGATTTGTTCTTTTTTATTCTTTGTATTTTTGTCCAAGCTTACTAGCAAATAACTGAGTAGTTGCAAATACAAGCAAGAAAAGTGACACCTATGTGTCTTGTTCTTGGGCTTGTATTGTTTGGAAAGGAGGATGATAAGTAGCCCACGTGGGAGAGGGCTGTAGGAAAGAATGTGTTCTCGAGTAGTTGGTTTCAGCCAGGACTAGCAAAGGGAAAGAATATGTCATGGAAAAGTTAGAGAGAATAGAGCAATTTGATGACAGTGGAAAGATTAGTCAGGTGAGAGGCTTGGTAGAAAAGTTTGTAGAGGAAGAATGAGATTGGGCAAAAATGTTATGGCAAAGCTAGAGTAGGAATGATTTATTCCTGGAGTTTACATTTCTAGTGGTAGTCAAGGATAAAGGCAGTGAGAAGTATGTGATATTTTAGCTCCGACCAAAAACTATAGCATGAAGATACTTCTCTGCCTACAAAGACAGATCTACTGCATCTGCCAGCTCATCAATTTTTGCAACTGTAAGCAATTTATCTTTCTCAGCAAAGATTAGCCATATTTATTCCTAGGTCAAAATATAAAAGGACCAGAACTCACTAGATCCCCAAAGAAGCAAAAACAGACACCAAGAGCTCTCACCTGGATGCTAATAATAGTCTCTCTCAAAAAAGTGCTATTTTTAGTTCCTTCCCTTAGACATTTTATGAGTTAATTATTTTTTAATGAGTCAGTCTGAGAACTTCACTACCATTTAACCTTGTTTCTATCAGAAAATTGATTAAAAGTTCAAAACATTTGATTTTTTAAAAGGGCTTTTGGAAGCAAACCCACTTACAATCCTGGGGCATATCATAGTGCCAAGATTTGTGATATTGGTTGGAGAAAAAACAACAACAACGACAACACTGAACCAGAAAAGTCAATGTTTGTTCATGTTACTGAGGACAACTCAATGGATTATATCCCTATTTCTTTGGTGTCAGAAACTCCCAATGGAGTTATCTTTTCTTGGATGATTTGTGAATAATTGAATACATGATTTTAAGCAGTCGTTACTTTGCTTGGCATGAGATGTTTCGGTGATTGTTCTGGTGTAGGTGGATAGTTTATCCTTTAAAATTTATCCTCTCTTGATTTTGTCCAAATAGTTTCTTATTTATCAGTAATTATATGACCTTGCCCTGCACATAAGTCATTTACTTGTGCTTCTACAGATGGGATATAGGAGGATTACATGACCATCTATCCATCTGTGTAAGTTTTATGGTAACAGAAAATCCCCTGAAGTCAATAAATGTTTCCTCTCTAGTTCACAAGCAGTGCTTGAAATTCCATCATCGGAGATACATTGCTTTAAGTTCACTGCTGCCAAAATAACTTAAATCTAGCTTATCTGGTATTAAATTATTGTGATAAATAGCTGAGAACAGTACTCTTCAAGGCAGGGCACAGGATCACCAGGGTGAAATCGTCCAGAGCAGCAGATTTCAAGCATTACTTCTCAGCATAATTCGTAGAGATGTCTCAGTGGCTGTGCAAACGTTGGACTTAAAGTTCTATTTTAGTGAGGCGTGTTAAAGAAGAACCAGAGATACAGAACTTCTTGATCTTTACTCTTCTCCAAATTTACTGTTTTATCTAGCTCTGTCCTTGTATTCCTTTAAGGCAATATGGAGAATAACTCAGCAAAATTAGAGGCTTTTGGTGTAAAGGATAATTGTTTTTATAAAATTCATTTATTTGACTCCAGGGAATGAAGCCTGATATTAAAAGGTCTGTTAGACCTTTTAACTAAATTGAAATATGTGTTAGTCTGGAAAAGAGAACAAAGTGGATGGGTTCTTTTGTAATCTGTTCAGGGGTTTGCTCGACTCCATATTCTCACCCCTCTTCTTTCCTCCCCAGTATTCAGGTCACTGTATAGCATAGAGGGCAACTGGGGAAGGAGGGAGGGCATTGCTGTGGGGCCCGCAGCCCCTGCTAAATAAGGCTTTTCTAGTCAAAGGTCGGGCGTGATATGGCCAATGATTAATAAGCTTCAGGACCTCCTAATTTGTCCTGAATAGGGGTGCAATAGTTAAAGGCCATATGATGGCTCTGGGTGTGTATGTGTGGACGTGTATGTATATGTGTGTTAGTTAATGTGGATGGGGTTAAGAGTTTAGAAGAAGATCATTAAAGGATAAAGCAGGCTTCAAAATAAAAGAAATAGTGAAGCCAAGAAATGGAAAAGAGCAGGTTTTCATAAGCATACAGATTCATAGAATTACTGCTTTTAACTCCAGGGCTTGTTGTAGGACATGAAATACTGCTGTGGCTTACCTGTTGGCTCACCTGGTTGGCTCACCTGGTTGGCTCACCTAGTTGGCTCACCTGGTTGGCTCACCTGGTTGGCATGGGGCAGCAGGTGGTTCCAAAGCCCTTTCAGCCTCAACTAATCTTTTTCTTCAGCTCTCCCAAATCTTTAGCCAAGTTCACATTTATCTTCTCCTCTGGGACTTCCCCGCCCCATGGTGTGCTAGTAAACTGACCCTATAGGGGGAAAAATATAACCCTCATGTATAACATTTGCCAATTCCAGAGTGTAAACTCTCCAATTATGGCCGATTTTTACTGACAGTTTAACAAACAGGTGGCAGCATTCGTGAATATTTGACAGTCCCACTCTCCTGGGCCAGGAGGAGCTGCTGCAGCTGTAGCTCCCTGTCTTCCCGCATTGACACAACCAAACAACCCTATTTGCCTTGCAGAGAATTGCAGATGGAAGATGGAAATGAGTCTTGTATATTAAAGGGAAATAAGATTTTAATTTGTAAGTGCTGTTCTATATTATTGTCGAATCTATAACAAAAATTATTAGAAAACCATTCTAAAAGGGTACAACATCTGCCTTCAAAGCTTGTATATTTCACTGCTCTGGGAGGGTTACTGAATGAGCAGCTAACCAGATGTAAGCCTTTCTTCAAGGCACTAACGGATAAAGGCTAAGGCATTAAACTGCTATGCTTTGCAAGTAAGCTGAAAAGTTAGCATTTAACAGCTCTATTCTCTGTTTCTTTCTTGCCGGTTTAGCGCTTTTATCAGATGCACACTAGCTGGCTGTTGTTATTTAAATGTTACCTCTTTTTCTATAGGGCTTCCCTCCCCAATTACAAGTTTCTTGAGGATAAGATCCAGGTGTCAGGTTTTATCCCCAGTCCTCCTGGAAACTGGCACAATGCCTCACCATCAGAAAATATGCACCCAATGAAAAGCAGATGTTGAATTCCCTGAGGGTTTAAAGGCCCCTGTCAAATCGGCAAGCCTGCACTCCCTGGCTGTTTATGAAAATACTAAAGATCGTCCTATTGCTTTAATGGTGACGATTGGGTAAAAATGGAGTGAGCATGAAATGGGGTTTCTCATCATGCAGATGTTTCTGTCTGGTCAGTGAGTTTAGAGGTTATAGCAGAGCAAGGAGGAAGGAGGGGTAAAAGGATAAAACAATGGAAAATGAAGCCGGAGAGGATGCCAATAAAATAAGGCTCCTTACTTTGATACTGTCCATGAAAGGATGACCTAGGAGGAGAGATGAAAGTATGGCCTGAAACTGAAACCGTACACAAAGCTTGGGGGACAGTGTGATGCAGGACAAAGAGGACGAGAGAATGGAGAAAACAGAGAAATGCATGAGCTTAGCCAGAAAATTCACAAATGACTCAAACATAATGGGATGAACCTCCTCAGTTTTTTAGAAGTAGAAATAGTCTGATAGGAAGTATACTTATAGACTATATTAGTAACTATGAAGATTCATAGTCATAGAATCCTATGAATAGAAGGGACTTGAAACATACAACCCATCATATTTCACATATAAATGGATAGAGTATGCAGAAGTAGCTCCGATTTCATTTCATCAAAACACGTAGAGCATTACATGTATTTTAAAACTAATATTATATGTGGAAGGGACAAAACGTCAAAAGGACCAGATTTTTCCTCGGAGTTTATTATCTCACAAATATAAAGGTAAGTGCACCAATCAAAGCACCTGTAATAGGTGCTGCAATTTGCTCTGCAAATGGTTAGGAATCACAGAACAGGAAAACATCAGAAGAGAGATTGTCTGAGCTAGGTTTAAAAGCTACGGTATTCACTCTTAGCAGATTTCACTAGATTATCAAATGCCATCATTTGAGAATTTTCTTAACAACCACACATTAGTGTGCTGCTAAGACTGGCCTTCCTAAGGTTATTCTAATGGAGCAACTAAGAGATACTGTCTAGATTGAAGGGACAGCAAGAATGGGGTGGGTGGGTTTGAGACGTCAGGTAGAGACTGATTCCCAGATACTGAAGGGACAAAAGGAAGGAGAATGAGGTCAGTGGTTAGCACTTAAATGATGAAGAAGCAGATTTGTGGGGGGAAAAGAGGATTGGTTTAATTTGTCCATATGGAATTTATGTGTTAAGATATGTCTCCACTTCAATGATTACTATATATTTATTGTTTCAGTTCCTTTGTTTTTCAATAATCCAGACACCATTTAGTCAACATGTAGTTTGCATTGATTAAACTCTTGATTTAAGAATATCTTCAATCTGAACAGTTTTCTTCATATGTTGTGCCAATAAATTGGCCAGAAAATTAAAAAGAAAACAAAAAATATTGTTTATTATACTCAGGTCTCTCTCATGCCTCTAAGAAAAAAAGTGTGATTTTTTTTGGTTATTTTTCTGTATTATCCTTCGTAGAAAATGGTCACATCATAATAATAGAATAATCACTTTAAGTTTACCAAAATTCTAAACATACTGACTGAATTTAGAGAATCTTTGGTTTTCCCTAAATGGAAAACAATTCTAAATAACACCTCTACTTCAATTGAGGGTGTGGGAGGCACTCTTCCATACAACTTTTAATAATTCTTGGAATCTGCAAATTTTTTTAAATCAGTTAAATCCCTCGGTTTTATAACATTTTAGGATACTATAAAAAAGTAATAGTCAGCATTCTATTACAAGCTGTCTCCTAGTTCACCTAAGTGTGTAAGTAAATGAAAGTCTCGTTTACTAATGACTTAAAATCATAGAAAGTGAAACCATTTTGTAGCATGAACTACTGAGAGCCATCTCATATGTCTTGAAACTGATCTCATTTGATGACTGGAGCACTATATAGTCCAGATTCTGCTGTTATTTTTTGTTTTTCTTTTTTCCTTTTTCTGGATTTTTTCCCCCAGCCATCTAATTTACAAATTGCAAATAGTTGCTAAAATTTTGAATCTGACTCTCTACTCCAAGTTTATTCCTTTTTACATTCTCTCCCATAGAAACCCAACTATATTCTTCAAGTTCATGACTCATTGTCATTTCTTTGATGTCTAAATCTCTACCTGCAGCTCACAGTTCATTTCTACCAGTCACCCACTAGCCTCCTTGC